AAGCAGGGTCACCTACAGCAGGCTGTAGAGGACCTTGTCCAGGTGGGTCTTGAATATCTCCAGAGAAGGAGACTCCACAGCCTCCCTGGGCAGCCTGTTCCAGGGCTCCGTCACCCTCAGAGGGAAGAAGTTCTTCCTCATGTTCAGCTGGAACTTCCTCTGCTTCAGTTTGTGCCCGTTGCCCCTTGTCCTGTCGCTGGGCACCACTGAAAGAGTCTGGCCCCATTCTCCTGACCCCCACCCTGCAGATATTTGTAAGCATTTAACACGCCTTCTCCTTCCGCAGCTGCAGCCTGTACAGGCAGTTGCTGTGAAGTAGCTTCCTTGAGAAGAACTTAAGTGGAGAGAACGACTTGGGCACGTCTGCTGGCCCCCGGGAAGGAGTCTGCATCGGGGTGACGGTGCCGCGGTGTGGGGTTTGATGGCGGCCGCACAGGCTGCACGTCCCCACGTGCTGCGTCTCGGGCGGCTGCAGAGCAGCCCGTGGCACGGCACCTCACCTTTACAAATGACAGGCACAAAACCATTTGGACCAGCACCGCGTGGCACCGTGTGTGACGGTGGGTGTGAGGAGACGTTTCACCTGGGGATCCAGGACAAACCCTCCGGTGTGAGAGGCACCCTGGCAGTGGGAGGCACGTAACTGCACTACTGTCTTTGTTAAGATCCTGTTTGGAGAGGGTCCCACACAGTGAATCAGAGGATAGTCCTCCCGTGTGGTCTGAGGTGCAGACTCAGCCACACGAGCGTCTGAGTGTCCTTGGCTGCTGCTGAAGTCTCTGTGTTTGCTGAACCCTGATGAGAGTTTTGCAGTTGCTTTTAGTGGGAACATGGTGACACAGTGCGGTGACGGCATCTGCTCAGCACTTTATGGGACAGAAGAGAGCTGACCCTGGCAAAACCCAGTGCAGTTTCCACAGAATCTAAGCATTTTAATTCTCATTCTTTGATCAACCTGTGTATTTCAAAGCCTTCATGATTGACTATGAGATAAAACCCCCTGGTTTTCAGCTGTGTATTATCTCATTCCTGCCTCTTCCTGTAGCAGCAGACCATAGATATGTTGGTAGTTGGTGCTGTGTAAATACGTAAGCTGGACATAACGTTGCAAATGTGGGTGGAAAAAGGAACCCTATTCTGCGGGGGTCAGCGCAGGTTGTCAGACTGGTAGTAGCATACGTATTCTCGTTTATCCAAACAGCAAATGTATTTTTTCCACACAGACAATATTGGACCTGTGTTTTGGTAGGAGAGAAAAATGACAAACTGTCTTCAGGCCAAAACCAGAGTTGTATTTTCATATCTGTCACGAACCTCCTTTCCCAGAGCCAGCAAATCGTACTGGCTCCTGAGGAAGAAACACTCAGTTAAAGCAAGAAGATCCCCGTCGGGTAGATGCGTTAGACTCATTTACAGACAATAGCAGTTCCCGATGAGCTGGCAGCATCGATTTCATGGCTGGTTTAGTGCATACCTGAAGAAGAACATTGCTGTCCATTTATCTGGAAGGTTTTGTACGCTGGGAGAACTGGGTCCGTCCATTTGGAAGGCACACTTCAAAGAGCAGGCTGTGCCCCCGAGGAGGCTGTGGATTTCTTCATTCTTGCTTTTCGGGGTTAATCAGCAGAATGATGGAAATAGCAGTCATCCAACTGAAGAGAGTGTCCTCGTATTATCCTGGGGTAAATGATTTGTCTCATAATATTGGAACATAACTGAAGCAGTAACTTGTCCTGTAATTAGGACTATAGGATGAATATAAAAAAAGAATAATCTGGATTTTGCATCATCGTGAATAGGCACATGACTGTGCACAGCAGCTGTATGGTTTGTTTGCCACTGGCTTGCTGTGTGACCTTGCAAGAGTCACTTCTGCATAATTTGCAAATTGATTTTTAAAAAAAACATGGCTTTCATCTCTATATGATGAATTAGGGATTTCTTTTAATTTTTGTTACTGGCCTTCCACATGAGAAAATTCTGGGTTTCTGACTTTTTGGGCGTTTGGGTTTTTTTGAAGGTGACCTGTTAGGCAGATGGATGGATTCTTTCAGTTCAGACCTAAATAAGGCAACTCGGGTGACCAGTCTTTCAGAAATCTAGGATTTTTCAAAAATGTTGTTTGATTACAGGTAGCAAAACAAGCAAGCAAGCAAAAAACCCAGAGAACATCAAACAACTCGACCAACTACTTTCCTTTCTCAGAAGTTTTTGCCACTTTTTACTGGGTTTGTACCACCTTCCCCTGTTTTGCAGGGATCACAGCTTTCTCCAGAATCTCTGCAGTCCTTTGGTGAACAGTCCTGAGTTGCAGAAGTGAAAATCAAGCAAATGACTCCGTGGCTGGCTGTAGGACAGTGTGAGAAAGATGCGCGGTGTTGGCACAAGATGCACTGTAGCAAGTCGAATTTCAGCAAGAAACGTGGAGCTGGAGGAGCCTTTGGCACAGAGTGGGCCGGGGTGGAATGGCCGTGTGTTTGCAAACCGCTGTCGGGCAGAGCAGCTTCCCCCCGTGCCGGTGCGGAGGGGCTGGCACGGTTCGGTTTGCCCTCGGAGCGGTGGAAGCCGCGGTGCCAGCCTTGCAGCGTGCCGGAGCAGGAGCACGGGCAGTGCAGCGCGGCGGGCAGCGCGGTGCTCGGGGCACGGAGGCCTCGGGGCACGGAGGCCTCCGGGCGTTTCTCGCTGTCCGCACCAGGCTGGCAGAGCCGTGGGCTGGGAGGCAGAGCTGCTCAGCCGCTCAGCAGCAGCGCTCTGCATGGAGTTCTTTAATTTTTCCGGAGTTTTACTGTTTTCATCGGGTAGGATAGATAGATAATGCAGTGTAGCCTTTGTGAATCTCCAGTTGAAGTATAATGTGATTTTGAAACCCGGAGATCAGAGCAGGGGTGAATTGGCAGCTGAATGGTTACCGGATGGGGGAGAATTAGTCAGTGTTTGTCGTAGCACTGGTGAGCCCTGTGCCTTCCTCAGAAGAGGTGTGAACTGAGGCTAGCAGGTGATAAGCCGTAGCTAACAAAGTGAGAAACTGCAAACCCTCGTTACTGGAGGTATTTTGTTAACAAAACGCCTTTCCTGTCCCCAGGAGACAGGCCTTTACCCGTTGCCGCCTTTCCTGTCCCCAGCAGATTTTGCACGTGAACAAATAAGCCACCATTAGCGATTTCTGTATGGGCAGCATGGGTGGTTGCAGAGCTGTGTGCTGTCAGATGAGTGATAAGGTGATAGAAGCATGAGAAGCTCATATGACAAAACGTAAAAGATGTGCTTAAACTGTCAGACCGATCAAGCCATTCCGTACTGGGCTGCGTACACCTCTGCCCAGAGAAGCCGAGGTTTGTCCTCTGTGAGGTTTGTTAATGACAGCTCTGCTGATGGAGCCTCATCTAGCAAGAAACTTAATGCACACACAGAACTTTACACCACTAACGGTTTCATGACAGCAGTGAAAGGTGTTCAAAGATCTTGCATAATTTGGACCAGAGTAACTGAAATTAACTTCTGGGATTGGTTTAGTTAATGTGGTAGGGCGTAAACAAATTTAGAGATGGCTTTGAATTTCCAATAATGAAGCGCAAAGTTATGTCTGCACCTGCCTTGCCTGGAGAAACTGCTTATATGGAGTTAATTTCAGAGCTGTAGAATTAATTTGGTGTGAATTGGTGTGGTTTATCTTGCAGTAAGAGGGCTGTGTTGTATAAATCCCATCCAGCACTTGGTTTTGCAAGGGTTAAAGTTCTTTGAGCAAGGAAATCTGTTTTCTTCCAAATCAGCCCCTCAACATACAGCTGCAAAGCCGGTGCCTCCTAAGAGATACCTAAGGAGGAGCCTGGTCTTCATGAGGAGAAAACCACAAGTGGGGCTCCTCGGAACAGCCCAGGTCTGTAAGAAAGCATTAGGGCATGCTGGGATCCCTAAATATTCAAGGCCATCATGGAAAATCTGGAGGGTAGGAAGGTCTAATATCCATAATATATCATCCTAGGAAATCCACATCAAAGAAAACCTTTAAAGTGAGACAACGGATCTTTTTCAGTGTCTGGATTTTGCTTCAGACCATCTCAACTCCTACTTTTGACTGAAAACCATCACAATTAATCCAAATTAAACGTCACAATTAATCCAAATGCTTGGCATCAGCCTTCATAGCCAAGTCCCATGTAAGCTGCCATGTGTCACTCCAGATGTGTTGGTCGTTCAGTCAAGTGAAAGCTTGTCTACATTGGTGATGTGCAACCGGTGCTTCTCTGCTGTCTCTCATCCAAAGATCTCCTGGGCTTGATGTCTTGCCCGTGGAAAGCTGATCCAGAGATACCAATCTCTTGCTTAAATCAAAGCGTATCTCCCCTCCACCCCAACCCCTCCCAAAAGAAAGACATTGAGACCTTTTGTGATTAGCTTGATGGTCTCTTTTTCGCCTTGTCAATAG